CGAATGACGAGTCTATGAATAATAATAAGAGCAGAGCCATTTTATTACTTCTGAAACTTATTAATTCATTTGGAATGATAAAATCTTATTTGTAAGTCTGGCAGGCAAGTGTTTTGAATAAATGTCTTTGTTCCCCCATCCATGATAAAGTCATTTTAAAGACCGAATGACGAGTCTATGAATAATAATAATAGCAGAGCCATTTTATTACTTTCAAGATAACTTCTGAAGCTTATTAATTCATTTGGAATGATAAAATCTGAATATGTAAGTCTTACAGGCAAGTGTTTTGAATAAATGTCTTTGTTCCCCCATCCATGATAAAATCATTTTAAAGACCGAATGACGAGTCTATGAATAATAAAAATAACAGAGTCATTCTATTACTTTCAAGATAACTTCTAAAGCTTATTAATTCATTTGGAATGATAAAATCTTATTTGAAAGTCTGGTAGGCAAGTGTTACGAATAAATGTCTTTGTTTCCCCATTCATGATAAAATCATTTTAAAGACCGAATGACGAGTCTATGAATACAAATAGGAGCAGGGCCGTTCTATTACTTCTGAAGCTTATTAATTCATTTGGAATGATAAAATCTTATTTGTAATTCTGGCAGGCAAGTGTTTTGAATAAATGTCTTTGTTCCCCCATCCATGATAAAATCATTTTAAAGACCGAATGACGAGTCTATGAATAATATTAATAGTAGAGCCATGTTATTACTTTCAAGATAACTTCTAATGCTTATTAATTCATTTTGAATGATAAAATCTTATCTGTAAGTCTGGCAGGCAAGTGTTTTGAATAAATGTCTCTGTTCCCCCATCCATGATAAAATCATTTTAAAGACCGAATGACGAGTCTATGAATAATAATAATAACAGAGCCATTTTATTACTTTCAAGATAACTTCTAAAGCTTATTAATTAATTTGGAATGATAAAATCGTATTTGTAAGTCTGACAGGCAAGTGTTTTGAATAAATTCCATCTTGTATGAATGATACTTACTGTTCTGTACCGAAAATGTGGTATGAACTGAACAATAGATTCTGTACAAGTTGAACATTCTAGGTAATTAAGGAACAACTCTCCTTAAATTTCTTCCATGATTTGTGTACGCTTCCAAATGACATGAAAAAGGTACTTCCCTTACCCGTACTGGGAATCACTTGTCTAATTCAAGATCTGCAATTTACTACAAAATATCTACCAATTCATAGTAATAGATGTATTAAGGCAAGAATTATAGAAAATCGTCACGATCATCACGTGTAGCCTATCAAAAGAATATTAAAGGCAAATCCAACCATTATAAACGAGTTCATTTGTATGAAGCAGAAAAATAGGATGACCAGAATTGCAAAAGTTTGTAATGAATCCGAACAATAATAAGGAAGTTATTCAAGATTCAAGATTCAAGATTATTTTATTGGTATAAGTGTTTGAAGGATGAGATTACTATATCTATGCGAATCTCAAATTGCCAATTTGGTCCATAGCTCGCGACGTATACATGGACTACTCTCCCATTGGTTGTGTATACAAATAAAATCACTGTGTGTTTTTCTTCTCAGCGCTTTTCCCGTCGGGCACTACTCAAGATACAGCCATAGTTATACATTTTGAAGAAGAAAAAAAAAAAAAAAAAAAAAAAAAAAAAAAAAAATCACATTTAAGTAATTTGTTTGTGTTGGAAGGAATGAGCAATTTGTCCGCCACTACGTAACAATGACATTACCGATTCAGCCACTTTGAAATCCTCACATCTATAGTGATCACAATATTCCAATATTCACAACTTTCTTATGTTGCGTTTGATTTTTGTTCAAACTTTCTCTAGATTTTTCCGATTTTCTGCTTTCTAATAAGGTTGGATTTATCTTTGAGTCTATAACATTAATGTTATGGCTTTATCTCTCACTCGGCTAAAGGGTTTTGCTTGTTCCAAGATTTTACCCAAAATTGAACAAAACTTACTTCTAATTCACCTGTACTGCAACCACGTCCTATATACAAGATGGTGTTTACAACAGTTGTAGCAACTGTTCTACCCTTCCTAAAAAAAACTAATATATTCATTTTTCTTGAATGAAAAGATTGACAAATTTAAAAGAGTTTCCTTTTTGTTCTTAATTCTTTGTTCTTCATTCGCATAACATTCAAATGTTAATATTAAAAAATTTGCATTTATTTTAAATGCATATACAGTAGCACCTAATAATTCTTGGATATTCAAAATGTTTGATTCACGCTGTAAACAATGATATAAATTGACTACCAAAGACATTTTCATGGGTGGAGCAATATATGAATGAAAGTTTCTAGTCTGTTTGTCACATAGACATTTAATGTGATGATGGCTTAAAAAGCAGATCTAAAAACTAGCATTTATAGATGTCTTAGATCTATACAAAATATTTTAAAAAATGATATTAAACTAAAATATGCATAGAGCTGGTTTAGGGAAAAACAGTCAGTGGAATTTACTCATTACTTAGCCCAAAGGAGCCTCAGTACCATTGAAATATGGAACGAAAAACAAACAAAATCTTCATAGAATGAAAACATATTGAAAAATTAACTTTAAATTACAACTAAAAATCAAAATATTAGATAAGAATGTCACAACATATCTATAATTGAAAGACTCATCTTGCAAACTAAATCTAATAGCTGCACAGAAATTAATTAACCCGTAGAGTATAGATTTTTCTTATTCCCATAGTCCTATTACAGGAGCCAACTTGTTTCAGTACGCAGTGGCTTAATGCGTCGGTAAAATCTAAATTGCTGTTTGGTTTACTGCAATGACGTAAGTTTCCAGTAAAGAGAGAGAGCTACATGAATTCATTAGTTCTTCCAAACCTAGTTAAAATGGTGCATACTGATGCTTAACGGTCTGTGATATAATTAAATTAATGTGAAATAGACTTGACTTCCCTATTAAACGTGATAATGATACTTTTCATTAAATCAAACAGCTTTATGATTTCATAGGCTCTTTGAAGTACAGTTACATTTTTGAAAGGTTTATGAAATGATGACATGATTATAAAACAATTTGCATAAAGTTAAATTCCCATGCTACAAAAATAAAAAACCCTGACAATGAGGCGAATTTGTGTTCTAATACTGTAAAATAAATCTTAAAAATTACTTCAAACAAAAAAAATGCATACAGTAGTTTATATCTTAAACTAAAATGTACTGTAGATTTGCTCCTAGAGCACATAATTCTAAAACGAAATGAGAAAGAAAATTGATATCATTTTAGAAACCAATTTCCAAACTGCATCTGGGCAAGGTATTGATTAATGGGATTTAGAGATAGTCAAGTACACCTGTATATATATGTAAAATTTTATTTTAGATATATATAATCTTTAAAAATTGCACTTCAGATAAGAACCATCTACACAGTCATGGACGATTATCAAAGAGGGTATAATGCACATTTGATGACTTTGATATAAGGATTTCTGTAATCAGTGATTTGTAAAAAATAATGTAAAAATCTATTTTAAAAATATCTTGTGTCTTTAAAAATTGCATTTCAGGTTAAAATCATCTACATAAGTCATGAAGAGGGAAAATGAATATTTCATGATTTTGTGATTTTGCTTTGTTTTTGTTGTAAAATTTAAATTAAAAAAACTCAATAAATGTGGGGAAAAAAACTTAAGAAATACACAGAAATAAAATGATTAGTATCTGAATGTTGAGTATTTATGTACTCAGAAACTGGTCCTTTCCATTGAAGAAATGCACTACATTATCTGGGGGAGTTTCACAAAGATCCCAAGTCAAACTTAACTCTAAGTTGGACTTCAAAATTATGGAGAGCCATTTGTAGCCTTAAAATAAAATGTATTCAAAAGCGAAATATCAAGTATTTTAGACTTTTCATGTATTCCACGTCAAGAACATGAAACCTCCTTGATAATAGAAAATATGAATAATTTGAATCAACATTTAATGTCTTTGACTTTATGCAGGTTTAACTGTGGTTATATAGAGTCCAAGAAAAAAAGGAAAAAAAAATTCAGGGGCTACTTATCAACCTTGCCTGCATGAAAATAACATTTTAAAATTAGTTTTGCATCGAACTCTATGCAAATTTAAGGGGGCTTTTCTGATTTTGGGGGCATTTCGGGGGCTATTTTGACCTGAGCCCCCATGTATTTTGTTCACTGATAGAGTCAAATCAGGAGGTGGACCCCAGACAGGTCTGAGTGTCTGAAGATTATCCATAATGACACAATTTACGATTTCATGATTTTATACTTTGCACCAACCAACTCAATCACTGCAAAAGGTTGTAAGTACACTTCATTTGATTTCAGGCAGTGATTAAAATCACATCAAAAACACTATGAAAGGTTTGATGAGCTAAATAGGTTGCCGAGTAATATTTATACAAAACACAGCTTGGCAATGATTCTTGTTTAAACTGACATTGGCCTACGAACACATTACTGAAACTTTGTCCAAATGTATAGTTATTCTTTACGAAGTTCTAAATAATAAGAATTCTTGCAACTGGAATTTTGTGCATTGAAGCCTTTGGGCCAATCAAGTTTGAAATTCTGTCAAATCAAAAAATTAAATATCTGTCATATTTAATAGTATCTGACAACCTTTCACTGCAAACATGAGGGAATACTCAAGGCAGACTTTCAAATCTCTTTCTCAATCTCTTTCTCCCTCATTCTACTGATCTAATTTCCCTTTTCTAGAGCTTTTGCAATCAATCATTTTTCCTTTTTTGTATCTTTCTTTTTTTTGTCTTCTACTATTTTCCTCCATTTTTTTTTTTTTATTTCCCTCCAATTTTTTTTAAAGAATTTCTTAGCTACATATTTTTCTATTCATTGATTTCTAAGCATACTTTGTTCATGTTTTATTGTAAAACAGCATCTGAGGAACTAACACTTCAACAAGCTCTGCTTTCAAGTTAGTTCCTCTTTTCTCGTGCCTTTTCCATTATATTTGTTGTTACATTGCATATTTGTTGTGATATAATTATTCTTGTATTATGCTTTGCATTAGAAAAAAAACTTTGAATCTTAGTGTGCTTTGTATCTTTTCCTACAGAAGTTACCAGAAAAAGAGAGGAATATAGGATTCATAACATCAGTTTTGAAACCAAACAATAGGAATCATTCCTTTAAACAGGAATGGTAGGCAGTTATATGTTACAATGTCTGGGGGTGTTTCACAAAGACTAAGATCCACTTTAAGTTAGACTCAACTATGGCAGGCCAGTCATGCCACTGGTTGCTCTCACCATTGGTCTCTCAATTATGATCTTTAGATGATATGCTTTTCCTTCAATAATGAACTATCAAAAAAGGTAAATTTTGTAGATTTGTGACCACAATTTGCAAGTCCCTTGAGAGATCAATGCCAGTAAATGGTGAGAGCAAACAGTGGCATGAACGCCTGCCATACCGGTAGTTAAGTCCAACTTAAAGTCGATCTTAGTCTTTGTGAAACACTCCCCTGGGCAGAAAACAAAAACAAATTAGCTAGCATTAGCATCACCCACGTAATGCAGTACCATCTAATCAATGGTATGTGTACAACCAATAATGGCATTCATGGCTGCAAATTTGTTGTGAAAGAAATAGTATCACCATCGCAATTGAAATCCAAAAGCCTGGCAGGTTTGACTTAGGTGGCTGTGGTGAAAGGTGAGGAGGACTCGGTGCACCTCAGACAAGGGGGAGGGAGCAGTTATGTCTTCTTTTCCCGGTTACTAGAGAGAGTGGGAAAAGTAGAACAATATAGCTGATAATTAACAACGACATTAAATATATGACGCATGCGTATGAGTTCATTATACAATCTATCTGCATTCGAGTTGAGGCTGTATCGTACTGAAGCCTGGGAGATGTTTAATAAATCTGTTCGTAAAATTACACATGACTTTACGAACAACTTGAATATGAAGTGCCAGATAGGATGCCCAAAGTTTTTCCTGATGTTTTCACAAAGTGTGACTAGTATATTTCGAATAACCTCAATCAAATTATGGCAAAAAACATACTTTGTATTAAATATGTTTGTTATAATAAGAATTTTAATCTACATTCGCACAGTTCAACTTTAGTTGATGCAGTTAAAAACTGATTGAGCATCCCATTTGGCTTTTCATATATAAGTTATTTGTAAAGTCATGCATAATTTATGAACAGCTTTATGAAACACCCCCCTGAAGAGGTTTTGATAAAAGCACAAAGCACATTTGCTGGTGGTGTTTTACAAAGATCCTAAGTAGAACTTAACTCTAAGTTGGACTTAAAAATTATGGAGAGCCATTTGTAGCCTTGAAATAAAATATATTCATAAGCAAAAATTCAACCATTTTAGACTTTTCATAAATTCCACATCAAAAACATGAAATCTCCCATGATAATAGAAAATATGAATGATTTGAAACAACATTTTATGCCTTTTAACATAACTTTTACAAATATTGTCAATGATGCTAATGGCTTTCCATAATTTTTAAGTCCAACTTAGAGATAAGTTCAACTTAGGATCTTTGTGATACAGCCCCTAGGTCTCTTGGAGAGGACTTCAAGCTTACTTTTGCAAATATAATTATACACATTCTTTCTTTAATAGCAGTCAAGTAAAACCATCATCAAAACCTCAAATATAAAATTTGATGGCAGAATCTGATAGGGTGCATAGTGTTGGTGGGTTGAAGTGACTACCATGACTAATAATCTCTTCTTTTCACTCATCCACCATATTGTGGACTCTGTGACATAAATAACTACTACAGGTGTATGAAAGGTAAAGGCCAGTTTTAGAAACGCCCCCCTCTCAAAAAATGAAATGGAAGCTCTTATTACCAATCATGTGAAAGAATATGTTTTGACTAATACGTGACCATACAAATTTTGCCGAGAAACGGCCTACTAATTTTGATATATTTGGTACATTATTATATCTATTTGGACCTGATAGATATAACGCACATGTCGCGCATGTGACACGTAGTCCCATATACATCTTTCTGTGTACAGTGCTTGTAACTTTACCAAAACTGGGCCAAATTTCTTATCATTTTGATGATTCCAGAACCTTGCAGTACACACCAATGCTGAATAGTTAGGTATATGCTAGATGATCCACCTTTTCTGATCGATATTCCACAACGTTTCTTTCACAATGCAATCGCATGACTATAACTGGTCTTTATCTTTAAACATTTATATATTCGTGCCTTGTTCCTCTGAGTTTACGTTTATATTGTTCGACTTCGGCTTTCTGTTTCATTCTTCCGTTTTACTCTGATGAGTGCAAGACGTAAAGCTTTAGTTATGGCTCTTTTCAACGGGATTCTCCAATTTTGTAGTACCAATCATCTTTTCTATTAAAGGTAAAAACCAGTTCTGGTCGTGCGATTGCATTGTGAAAGAAACGTTGTGGAATCGATCAGAAAAGGTTGATCATCTAGCATATAAGTATTTGTGTGTACTGCAAGGTTCTGGAATCATCAAAATGATAAGAAATTTGGCCTACTCTTGGTAAAGTTACAAGCACTGTACACAGAAAGATGTATATGGGACTACAATATATATTATCATATCTATCCGGCCTGGATAGATATAATAATTTACCACATATATCAATTAGTAGGGGTTTCCCGGGTAAATTTGTATCATCACGTATTAGTCAAACCATATTCTTTCAAATGATTGGTAATCAGAGCTTCCATTTCATTTTTTGAGAGGGGGGCATTTCCAAAACTGGTCCATACCTTTAAATATTTTATGGCAGAATATGATGGGGTGCACAGTGTTAATTGGTGTATTAATTGAAGTCACCACCATGACTAATAATCTCTTCCTTTCTTTCATCCACCATATTGTTGTACTATTGCAAGATGATAGAATATCGTAGACTTACTGGTAGCAGTATTCAGCGATACCCCAGCCCTTCTTTCCATTGACGATCACATCAACGAAGCCTTCGTAGAGTTTAGCTTCTCTGTCTTTGCCCATGTAAAACATCGGTGCTACCTTCACCTTCACCTCGCAGTCAAATCTCTCTCTACCTACAAAGAGAAAATCACAGAAAGAAATGTTTTGACATGAGGGGCATTTACACTGTCATCCAAACACGCCCAAAATGCCAAACCGGAGCCTGACCCCGATATTTCAGTGATGTTACCAAGGCAACTAAGCTTTACCGGCAAAAATGCCAAGCCCGAAACATTCCAAATCGAAGTGTGATCTTTTGGCGTGTTTGGCAAGTATAAACGCTCGCAGTTGTAACATCGCGATGTTAGGTCACGTGACTTTAAGAGCGGAGCTAGCTGTCGTCCTTGATGAAAATGATAGAACGATGAAAACAAAGAAAAACATAAGGAAAGACAGAAAGAGAAAGTGATAGAAGGAAGAAACAAAGAATAACATAAGGAAACACAGAAAGAGGAAGTGATAGAACAATAAAAACGAAGAATAACATAAGAGAAGGTGATATAAAAGGAAGAAACAAAGAATAACATAAGGAAAGACAAAAAGAGGAAGGTTTTTGCATCGGAGTGCCGCGCATGCGCATTACCAACCAAAACATTACTGAGCTTTTCAGTCGGTGATGTTTCAGCACAAGTGTAAACGGGTGTACGAAACAGCACGACTTTTCTAAATGAGGTATTTGACAGTATAAATGCCCCTTCGATATAATAATTATGTAATATTGAATGGCCTTGAGTGTGATACAAGTTAATTCTAAAAGCTGATGAGCATATTTCAGGAGTCGGCAGGGCGAGTGAAATATTCTCAAAGTGAATGTGATATTGAGGGCTCAAATGCCTCTGGTCTGGGCAACAGTGAAGCATCTCACTTTTGCAAACCCTGGCCCATAGGTATATCATTTCTCTCCTCTTCTCCTTGCTTCTCATTTCCTTCTCTTTCTCTATCATTTCTAAGATAATTGTATTTATTATGTTGACTTTGTATATACTGTAAATTCCTAATAATAATTTAAAAAAGAACGAAATACATTTGTGTTCCATGACCCAAAAGCAATTCACACTCGAATCTCTCTGTACCTACAAATAGATAGTCATCACAAAAAGAAATGTTTAATATTGAAATAATACTGATATAATATTGAATGGCAGGGATGAGCATATTTCACGATTCAGCATGGCGAGTGAAATATTCTCAACACATTTGTGTCTTATGACCCAAAAGCCATTCAATATTATTATTATTTTTAATTGTATTTTGGGGTATAGCAATCTAAACCAGTGGGCAACAACAGAAGCAATAGAGTACCGAAGCTGTGACATCATAAACATCCATTTTTGGAATTTCTCAATTTTTCTTCATTTTCCGAAAGAGCATGGAAAATAATGTCTAAATGTCGAAAACCAATTGAATATGTTAAGTATTGGCTGAGATACATGTATGACCATCTGAATACATAGATTTCCTTTAAGAACTCGGTGTTATATTGTGACATCATAAACATCCATTTTTGGAATTTCTCAATTTTTTCTTAATTTTCCGAAAGAGCATGGAAAATAATGTCTAAATATCGAAAACCAATTCTCGCTACCCCAAATAGCGATTCTGCCGAGATCCGGGGAAAATCCTGAAAACGCGCATTGCATTATGGGATAACTTTTCGACATTACAGCTTCCTGTGCAGGCGTTCGTGATCACAACCCTCTCTTTCACGGTAGAGTTTAACGGCCTTTTGTGCTAAAGTCACTAATTCTGCCCGAAGCTTTCCATTGCATATTATAATCTGTACAAATTACACTGATTGGCATCGATTTTAGCGTGCGTGAAAACTCTGCACAGCGAACACAGGCGCTAGCGCCAGCGGGATGGGACTCTATACCGGAAGTTGTAGTGACGACCCGAGAGAGTGAAAATTACCTCGTCTCGCGAATTTCGAGATTTTCGTACCTATTTAGGGTAGCGAGAATTGAATATGTTAAGTATTGGCTGAGATATGACCATCTGAATAAATAGATTTCCTATAGGAACTCAGTGTTATATTGCTCTGGCTCGTAATGTTATGAACAAGAGCAAAATAACACTGAGTTCCCATAGGAAATCTATTCTTTTAGAAAGTCATATCTCAGCCAATACTTAATATATTCAATTGGTTTTCAACATTTGGATATTATTTTCCATGCTCCTTTGGAAAATGAAAAAAAAATCCAAAAATCCAAAAGTAGATTTTTGATGACTTCACCACTCTATAGATTGTACCATGACTTACCACAGACAAAGCTGAATTTGTATTGGTCTGGAATCTTCCACGTATCTTCCCCTGTAGAAACCATATCAAAGGTACTGTGTGTCAAGGTCACCTTGTAATCTCCAGGCCGCATCACATACCCTGTGGTGAGACTACAAATAAAGAGCAAAGACCCATTAAGACAGTATTAAAGATAAAAACCAGTTTTGGAAACGCCCCCTCTCAAAAAATGAAATGGAAGTTCTTATTACCAATCATGTGAAAGAACATGTTTTGACTAATACGAGATCATACAAATTTTGCAGAGCAACCGCCTACTAATTGATACATTTGGTAAATAATCATATCTACATGTACCTAGTTGGACCTGATAGATATAACGCATGTGTCACGCACGTTTGGGATAGTCTCATACATGTTTACATCTTTCTGTGTACAGTGCTTGTAACTTAATTCACCAAGACTTGGCCAAATTTTGTATCATTTTGATGATTCCAGAACCCTGCAATACACACAAATACTTATATGCTAGATGTTCAACCTTTTCTGGTTGATCCGAAACCGTTTCTTTCACAATGCAGTTGCATGACCAGAACTCAACTTCATCTTTAAGACAGTATTAAAGATAAAATTTATTTCGAGTCATGCGATTGCATTAATTGTGAAATAAAGGGTGTGGAATGGATCAGAAAAAGTTATATACTTTAACACAGTTGCTGGGCGATGAGGGAATGGGGGAGGGGGAGGGGAATTATGGTTCTGCAGGTGGAGGATAGGGGCCATGGGTTAATAATTCCTTCATTTTTTTTCATGGTATGTTTTCTCCCATTCCTACAAAGGCTTGGCATTCCCTATATTAAGCTCAGCTCCAGTTATGATCATGCGATTGCATTGTGAAAGAAACTATGTTGAATCGATCAGAGAAGGTTGATCATGTAGCATGTAAGTATTGGTGTGTACTGCAAGGTTCTAGAGTCATCAAAATCGTAATACATTTGGCCCAGTCTTGGTAAAGTAACAAGCACTATACACAGAAAGATATATATGGGACTATACACAGATGGTGTCGGGCCTACCTTGATTTCCTTATCTGTCTATGCTTATTACTCAGCCAGTATACATTTTCTACCAAAATGGCGATTGACATTTATTTGTAACCTTGAACATTCAGTGTAACTTTCGTTTGATTCTGTGAGAATTCATTTTCTTTTTTTACCACCCCCAAAACAAACAAAAAACTTCAGCTTGAATGTTACCTGCACCTACTGAGAAGTTAATTAAAGGTAAAGACCAGTATTGGAAACGCCCCAATTTCAAAAAATGAAATGGAAGCTCTCATTACCAATCATGTGAAAGAATAAGTTTTGACTAATACATGATGATAAAAAATTTGCCGGGAAATCGCCTACTAATTCATATATTTGGTAAATTTGTTTCTCTCATGGTCTGTGAGAGATATAGGGTAGTCCCATATACATCTTTCTGTGTATAGTGCTTGTAACTTTACGAAGAATGGGCCAAATTTCTTATCATTTTGACGATTCCAGAACCTTGCAGATGCTAGATGCTAGATGATCAACCTTTTCTGATCGATTCCATAACGTTTCTTTCACAATGCAATCGCATGACCATAACTGGTCTTTACCTTTAAAGTTACAGACGTAATTAAAGTTACAGACGTAATTAAAGTTACAGACGTAATTAAAGTTACGGACGTAGGTTGTTTAGTATGTCATGAAGATCATAGTACATACATATACACTTCATGTCTATTGTGAACCTCTTAGGTGGAAACGTGTCCTTGAAAAACAAGAAATTTTATATTTCTATTTATGAGCAATAAAAACATGCACAGGTACTTTAATTGGCAACCTTCTTATGATACATTATTATTACATGAACAATAAAAGGTTTCATTTTTCAACAGTTCTCACGATGCTCTTGAATTGCACTAGATCTACACAAAATAATGTTTTTGTGAGATAATGAAAAACTGATTATCAAATTTGAAAGAGCATACAATTCATTTGACAAAATCATTTTTGTAAGATCAAAATCGGTTCAGAGATGGCTGAAATATCCATTTCAAATATTTGTGGAGGCCCCACAAATATTCACTCATTTTGACCCAGCCCTTGAAAAAAACGAGAGAGGGCCCGTATATTGTTATCATTAATTAATTAATTAACGGTCACCATATTTTTTGAAAGTGGAGCTGAATTGGTATGATCGGATTTAATCTAAATTTCACACATTTTGGCGTGTAAAATTACCTTCATAGCAATAATAGGCCCTAATAGAGCACTAGAAATGTCATAAATAAGAATAAGAGTAATAACCAAGCGCTTTGAAGGCATTTGCGGTCTGAAACAAGAACTCAACTATCCCTTTAAAGTGACTCGGTAACATTGTCGAAGGTTGATGAAAAAATGTGTACTTTCTGTATGAAATGTTACTTATTATATTCCTTCTACTGAACTTACCCTCCAACAGGCAAAAAATCCAGAGAAAATTCTCAAACCACAAAGATATTTATGGTTTTCTTTGAAGGCGTCACTGTGCGACACCCTCTGACAGAGATTAGCAGTAAATTCTCCCAACCATTTTTGACTTTTGCCAACTGTTTTTCCATGAAAATAAGACATAAGACAGGCATTTAAAATTCTTTCAACACTAATAAATGTCTGGAATGGTATATAGAACCAATTCATTGCTTTATGATGATTTACATTCACCTAAAAAGTAATTAAATTATAATAATATAGTTGGGAGAATTAAGGAATTGATCAGATAAGTTTTTCCCTGTTTTTATCAATAATAATGGTCTGTTTTCACTCAAACTTTTAGATTATCTTTAATTATACATCTAGCATTGAAGTCACTACCTTAGCACCATTTTCTCTCATCTGAACAATGTTACCAAGTCCCTTTAAAGCTTATAACTACCGGTACCTACCATGACAGCCTTCCTGGATAGCAGATCTTGCCTGCATGTATACAGGTACCATCTTCTAGATGTAACATGTGAATGGCATAGCGGTGAATCTCATTCCAATCTCGATAGTTACCTTCATAACAAACACATGAACATAGAATTATAACCAATCTTTCAAAGTTGGGTTTTAAACAATGAACTGCTTTTGAATTACATTCCTTTCTCTTTGGTTTCTTAGTAGGCAAGCTAGCTTTAACTTTGTTATTTCATAGGAAAAATAATCTCTAAGTAATGCCTGGCTGGAATGCTCCCCAGGGAGTGGAGATTGTGCACACTAAATCCAATGACTAGAGTAATATTATATCTGTAAAGTGCTTAGAGACATTGTATTAAGCGCTATATAAGCGGAATATTAGTATTATTATTAATTGCAAACGGAAAAGGTTATCTTTAAATATGTTAAAATATGTTCATGAAGTTGAGTGGGTTGCTTGTATTGAACGTAAATAATTTTGTTTTTATCAAGTGCTAGATGATAATTGACAAGTACAGTGTAGACTCATTTGATTTTTCTGACTTGTGACGTGAAGCATTTGTTCAAATTGCATCGAGTTAAATTTCCAAGACTTTAGGAGATTACAAAAAATTGTTTAATAGAATTTGAGTGCGAGGGTGTGCGTGTGTATATCAAGTGTGTTTGAAAGAGAAAGAAAGAGATATTTAACGGAGATAAAGGAGCGATTGAAGAGGGGACGGAGAGGGGATGGAGAGGGGATGAAAAAGGAGGAAAAAAAGGGGGGGGGGGGGGTTGGTGAAGATAGAGATTGGGGAGGGGAAAGATAAAGGAAAAACAGACATGGAGAGGGAGAAAGAGAGGAAACAGAGACAGAGAGAGAGAGAGATGATGATGATGATGACTGCAGAGATTGGGGATGGGATGAAAAGAGGGAGAAGGGGGTTAAGACAGAGATTAAGGAGGGGGAAGAGAAAGGAAAAAAGATAGAGAGAGAAGGTAGAGATGGAAGAGAGAGAAGGTAGAGATGGGAGAGAGAGAAGGTAGAGATGGGAGAGAGAGAGAGTGAGACAGGTAGACAGAGAGAGGGAGAGAGAGAAATAAAAGATGACGGCTGAAGCCAATGCCCTACCATATGAATGATCTCTCATGCCCACTACTACGATTTCCTGCTTGGCGTGACCTTCGACCTCAACTGCACCTGTCATTTTTCCGAACTGTTCATGATGGGTCTGATGAGACCTAAAAAAAAAGAGAAAAATTCACATTACGAAAATAGTTTGAAATAATAAAAAATAGACCTTCCAAAGATAATTGCAATGAAGCTGCTTGTAAGTATCGGCTTGCATGGTGATGTAGATAAATATTGTACAGTAGGCTTGCAGGTGCACCATGTGAGAGAGAGGGAGGATTGAGGAGTCCTGAAAAGGACTCTCGGTAATCTTTCTTGAGGGTGTGTAGTCCTGAAAAGGACTGTTGGTGTAGTCTTAAAAAAGACTGTTGGTTATCTTTCTTAGCTTATAGTTCTAAGGAGAACTATAGCGCTTGGAGAGGACGAGTGGCGGGAGTGGCTCGATGTCTGAACAGGTTGACTATCCGTCGTCAGGAGACCAACAGATAACCAACAATCTTATTCAAGACTACACCAACAGTCCTTTCAGGACTACACACCCTCAAGAAAGATTACCGACTCAATGTTACTTGATGTTGACGCCGCCGCCGTCACCGGAAAAGCGGCGCCTATGTCTCGCTTTTTGCTACGCAGGCGAGACAATATAAACCAACAATGAATATACAAGATATATCTGCACATACCGCAATAATTGAAATTGATATTAGATACAAATCCTAAGAGTAGCTCAGTGATAACTAAAAAGAAAGAAGACAGTCCTTCTCCTCTCCTCCCAGCCTATTCCCTCTTCTTTCTGTCTTTCTTTCATACTTTCTATATTTCTTTCTTTTTCGTCTCTTAGCAAGTGACATATCGTCGATGGGGTGAAAAAACCTTGTATCTCAATTTTTTGAGATTTTGATTTTTTTGCATAATTTTGTACCTAATGGCCTACGACACCACCTGATAAATCCATAGAACGTCTCCTTCTCGGTTTTTTCACAAATTCCACACAAACATCCTTAAACTAAACCTCGTAACTTTAACCCCCTTTGAAGCTGCACTGACAAAACCTCGTAACATAAGATACGTAATTCCTTTTCCTCGTAACTCACACATGGCCTAACAGTACCGAAGTAAGCGTATTCAAATCCTCGTAACTTATTCAACCAAATCCTCGTAACTCATTCAGAGTTGAAAGTAAGAACTCGTATCTCGATTTGAATACAAACTAAAAACTTGTATCTCAACGTAGATAAACGCAAAAACCTTGTAACTCACTTTCAAATATAAAAACAATTATTTTACTGTATTTCAACAATGACATTAAAAATTGTATAAACATTTCAGTTTTATAAAGAAAGGACGGTGTCACAGCACTAAATTTCTTGAGACAGGAATTTTTTTTCACTCTCCTGAAAATTCATGATTTTTGAGATACGAGGTTTTGTGCTCATCATTTCTGACTACATTATTGATATACTATTTATTATGTTTTAAATATTGTACAATTCTAATGAATTTGCTTCTAATTTGTAATATCAATTTGCTGTATTTAGGCTACTTTGATATTATTTTATCCTTTTCAACTGTATATAGTTGTGATGTATTTTCAGGGCCCCATTGAAGACCAAATTTTGTTGAATGGGCTACCCTAGCTGGTGAAGCATTCATGAACGAATAATATACTTCCTGGTTTCACCTTTTAGTGATATTCTATTTACATCTTTCGATCCAGAATGCTCTGAACTACAAAATGTACATGCGCAGAAAGTACAAAAAATTGAGACCATTTTTGTTGCTGTACATCGTGTCAATCATGAACAAGGGCGATTTAATCGAAAAAAGTCATTGAAGTATCTACAAAATTAGAAGTACAGAGAGAAATTTATATGGACTATTTTTGTGTACAAATCCACAATTTCTTATTCATTCACACTGTTCCATTTAAAGCCCCACTGCACTACTTTTAGCTACTTCCTCCCTCTAAATAGAAAACAATGCCTAAGCGGTGCCCGTTGGTCCCCCATGATCGTCTTTTCTTTGGTTAATTGAAAGCTGAGTTGATGAGATTAAACCACATGTCAGTAACCACGCTGGGTGGTCTAATCCCTCCTGGCCAGACTAGTGCGGACAGGCTTTAAAGGGATCGTTTAACAATGTTGAATCTGAGATGCACGGCCCTACGTGTTATCAGTGTCTGTGATAGTGTTATATTGAAGCCGTAACAAAATTGCGCTTCAAAATGATTAAGAAGTGCCTCAAAAAGTAAAAACCTTTGAGTGACCGGTTTTACCATACTCGTTTTCCCCAATAGACTGTAGTGTTATGAAAACCGTTTGGCATACGCAAAATTTGATTTCGATTTTCAATCATAAATTTCTTGATAATCAGACAGGCGATCGGCTTGTAAAAGTCATGGGGTTCCTGACGGACCTAAAGGTTTATGATTATCATTGCAGCATGAGCTAAATCAAGGATTTTTTAAACTCATATCCTGCCATGAGACTGCTAGCGCGCTATTGTTATAGTGCTCTGTGCACGCGAGCGCGCTATCGATTGAATGCCACGTTCATGCTAGCGAGCCACCGCTACTCTGCTTTGTGCACGCAAGGGCGCATATGTAATAACAGTCATTGTTCATGCCCATTGCACCGTGCTGAGTGCTTTTGCAGCGCTATTGAAAGTACCATCGCGTGCATCAGATTATCGGCTTTGGATTACGCATCTTTGAATACAACAGTCAGATTGGATTTTCTCGAGTAATTTAGCGATTTGTTTTTGTAAAGATTTAAATAACACGAGCTTGAACCAACCTTAAAATTAACTTGGCACACAGGAGATTTGTGGCTGTCACAATAGGGATTAGCACTGTGGCACTGGATGCATTGTATGGGTGGCAGCTTAAGAGTTAAAGGATCTAAGACAAAGTTACCGGATCCCTTTAATATGCATTTAAGTTTTTTTTCATTTATGAAAAAGTGGAAATACAAATAACTGTTACCTATTTGAGGAGAAAAGGTCCATTCATTTTAGAAAACTCTGACCTGCTGTGGGCTAGATTCAATTTTTTTTTTTTTTTAAGCAGATTTTTCTGCATTTATTGATAAATCAAATATAAAACATTCAAATAACAATAATATATACAGTAGGCTTGCGGGTGCACCATGTGAGAGAGAGAGAGTGGATTGAGGATTGAATATATAATATAATTGATAAACATAAAGAGTGACAACTTAAATACACACACATACAAATGAATATATATATAATTGAAAGCTTGAAAGTATGGAGGTACAAATGTAAGTAGAAATAATCATGATGAATGCAGAGGCCAACTATCATATAAAGCAAGAATTCTTGAGTCGATAGCAGCCGGATATTGAATCATGCTCATGTTTTCCTTACCGTTTTAGCTCATCAAAAAACTGCTTTGACCATTTCTCCCTTGCAATGGTATCGGCCATGAGAGAGGCATCCAAATCGGTGTCAAAGTCAAAATAAGTTGTAAGAGCGGTCCACCTGAAAGAATGAAATTAAATAAATAAGAAATCTTATAGGAGGCGCGATAGCTCAGTTGGTAGAGGAGTGGTCTTGTGATCCGGTGACCCAGGTTCGAAACCAAGTCGATGCACTAGTGCCCTTTGGTTAGGCATTAATCCTCATTACCAGGTCCCTCAGAGAGGACCTAAAGCCGTCGGCCGTCTGGTTGCTTACTTACAGGCGTTTATGCTTTCTTAGCAGTTAGGTAAAATAGCCACCACCACCACCACATCGATTGAACAGACTACGTTTAACGAAAAAGAAAGACAAAAAGTGGACACTATTCATAGCAAAATACTCTAGAGGAAAGCAGAAAAAAATAGAAAAGAAAAGAAGAGAAAGAATTTTTTTAAAAATTAAAAGAGAGAGAGGGAGAAAGAGAGAGAGAGGAAGCGAGGTAGAGAAGAAGGATAGTAGTTAAGGTAATGCAACGTTTGGGGAAATTTTGAGAAAAAAAAGAGAGAAAAAGGTGGACATATCTATCTGGAAAGCGCTTTAAGAGGTCCTAAAAAGCTTTATATATTTAAGAACTATCTATTGTAATTATAAGGCTATTATTCATAGCAAACTACTCTAAAAGGAAAGCAGAAAACAAGAAGAAGAAGAAAAAAGAAAAAGAACAGTTATTTGAATAAAATACATGTAAATTACAATATCTCTTGCAATTTATGAAGCTATTTAATATCAGATATAATACCCAAGTAAAATATGCATATTTCACATTAACTCGTTTATTAACACCTACACTGTTTATTGCTTATAGAAGTTAGAGAATTCAGTAGTTATTTGAATAAAATACATGTATATTACAATATCCGTTGTAATAAAGCTATTTAATATCAGATTTTTATATAAACAATACCCAAGTAACATATGCTTATTTCACCTTAACTCCTATGTTTATTAACTCCTATGTTTATTGCTTATAGAAGTTAGAGAATTCAGAAGTTATTTGAACTGATAAAAAACATGTATATTACAATATCCCTTGCAATGAAGCTATTTATGATCAGATTTTTATATAAACAATACCCAAGTAAAATAACCATATTTCACCTTAACTCCATGTTGACTTCCAAAAGTTTTCCGTTAGTCCAGTCTTGCTTTTTAGCATCTACAAGTCTGTAAAAAAAAATGATACAAAATATAGTTATTTATCATCATTACAAATCAGTGCATCTTAGGCTTTGCGAAAAAGTACCTAGACGACTGTGCATTTTTATAACAATACTTCATTGGTTGTGAAAAAGAACTTGGGTAACCGTGTAGTATTTCTCCATCTCTCATGGTCTGGAGATCAGCCCGATCACTCGTAAATACATGTTTAATTACACATACCGTAATTAACGTTGTATAAACCGCCCTCGTGTATTAATCGCACCCCTCTTTGTCGGCAGCAAGCCAGGTCCGTGTTAAAAAAAACCCACGCGGGAAGGCCTTTCATTTAACTGCGAGGTGCAGCTGAATGTGTAAGATCATTAATGTAAATTAAAAAACAGTAGAGGACCTAGGATAGAACCTTGTGGTACACCATGTGTAGGAATTATTATTATAAACTACATATTGAGATCTATCAGAAAGATTACTTTCAAACCAAGATGACAGAAAAATTGAGTGTTGTTCTAGTTTCCTAGTGGTGAGTCAACACACCGATTACTAAGCTGGGAGACATTGCCAGGCATAGCGCCAGGTGGAGGGGCATAAATCAAAACTTTAAACTGTTTTTGGTGTACCGTGTATAAACCGCACCCCCGACTTTGAATTTTTATCGGTGGCAAAAAGGTGCGGTTTATACACCGTTAATTACGGTAGGCAGAAATAATAGATGGATGTATGCAGGCAGGCAGCCCTTTGGGGGGGGGGGGGGGGGGGGGATAGTAACAGTTATTTTTTTTGTATCCATTGCTATTTACTTTCCATTCGATGGCTTTACATATTGCTTTCTATACTTGTTTTGCATCTTAAGCCCCGTCTTAACCCTTCCTGTACTGGGCTATTTTGAGCACCCTCTGATCTCGGCCGTCGAATGTCCGATGATCACGAAAATTTGCATATTTGTAGATATTTACGTAAGGAACAAGATGGTATGATTAGTTTTTTCCTAATATGCAAATTTTTGTTGTTAAGCCTAATTAATTAGGCTTAAGATGCTAATTTTATGCATTTTACAGAAAACTCTACATATTTGTCCATAGACTTGTGAAGAATCTTGAAAATGTATTGAATAAATGTTTCTTTCATCTCAAATTCATGAGGTTTCATTATTTTTATGATATTTGAAAATGCATAGGTTAATTTGCATAAAATATGAATATGCAAATTACGCATTCATGAATATCAAATCTGGAACTATATTTAGGGAACTAGAATCATTACAAAAATTGTCAGACTCCCCTTTTTGAATGTTGAAACTTATTATTCATATGAAACTTCTTTTCTAACACAAAATAGTTATTTGATGTAATTAATAATGATAATTTATGCAAATTTGATGCGATTTTCAACTATTTATTTTCTTATGTATTTTATTGTTTTTTATTTCTTATTATATCTATTGTTTTATTTCTAATGTATTCTTTTGTTCTGGAATACATCAAGTTACTCTGAGAAACATATAAAAGCAATTTGATATCAATTCATATCTTCACATTTCTGCTTGTACATGAATATATGCAATTATAGCACTTTTTTGATGACATGCGCATACTGATTGTTATGTAACACCTTACAGGTATATCCGATTTTGACGAAAATGGTATCAAAATGTGCGCAAGACCTGAGGGAAAAAAGTCATGAAACGACAAAATCGAAATTCAAAGCGGTTACGGCGCGATCTCCGAGGGGCGGGGGGGCCCCCCCCCCAGTACAGTAAGGGTTAATAGAACTTTTTCGAGCTCACCCGAGCGATATGTGGATGAGAAACAGTGGGAGGTCTGATCGTAAAACACGGGGTGAGCTTTTGGACACCGTCTTAATCAGCCATCCCCAAAAACCTCACCCGGGTAGGTTACCATAACAACCGCACCTGTCTCATGGCGATCAGCTGGCGTGCGCTGTGTACATGTATACATTTTTTCATGGCGATGACGTAATTTAAGTATTTTTTTCCCTGTACTACTGGGGATGTGGAAAGGGGTCGAGAGGAACAGCTGGGGGAGGGGGAGGGGGGGGGGGGATCGTGTTCCTCACCTCATTTTTCCATGGTACGATATCTTCCATTCCTTCATTGGCTTAACACTCTCTATGCAGAGCCCCCCGACCGAGTGTTTATCAGGATCGCAGTCCTCTAACAACGTGCCTGGATTGTCGGGTAGCTGGAGTACTCCAATCCCGGGGAGGACCAAATATGTCAGGACATTCGCCATCTGGTTCTGACGTCTCGCAATCGCCGTGACGACGTACACGCCATCTTTGTTTGAGCCATTGAAATAAACGGCATCTACAGCCTGGCAATATCATGTTAAAAAAAGAGAAGAGTACATTTGTGAATACTAAATTGTAGTGGCATGTACATACAGGAAAGGTATAATATAGAGGGATATCGATAACAGAAAAACAGAAGACATTTTGGATGTTTGGATTTATCACACATGCAATTTTGCACAACACAATCGGCACCAATTGACACAATAAAAAAATAATAATAAATAATAAAAACGTTACTTATAAAGCGTTTACCACCGAAGTCTCTAAGCGCTTTAACACACAAAATAGACTGACAAACAATTACATATTAATCGAAACAAAAAAGTGCAAAAAAACCCTACAAATTACAATATGGAATAGGCCTACACATCAAATTGAACAGAGTTCATTAATCATTGAACGCAATTTTGAAAAAAACAAGAAGGATTCTATGCAAGACAATGGCTTTGCACATGACCTGCTTATGGTAGCTCATATCAGTCAAAGTCTAACTCATAAGGCAGGAAATAGAGTGTCAGTAACATCCAGATAGGAAATATGCTGTTATTCTAGATGCCACTTGCCTTCAAGTTCAGGAAGCATGCAGTAATTCATGTAATAACATTGGTGGTTAAAGGCTACTTCCCATGTCTTTACCGATTCCTTTAGGGCTTCTATAGCATCTCCCTACAAAATATAGCAAGGGGGGTGTTTCATAAAGCTGTTCGTAAAGTTACGCATGACTTTACGAACGACTGGTATATGAAATGCCAGATAGGATGCCCTAATTTTTTCCTGATATTCCAATAACCTCAATTAAATTATGGCAAAAAATTACTTTGCATTAAAAATGTTTGTTATAATAAGAATGTTAATCTACATCTGCACAGTTCAACTTTAGTTGATGCAGTTTATAATGATTGAGCATCCCATTTGGCTTTTCATATACAATTCGTTCGTAAAGTCATGCGTAACTCTACGAACAGCTTTATTAAACACCCCCCTGCTCCCTAAATATTATCATTACCAATTCTAATATCATCATATTTTCTAGACACAAGATTTACTAGACAAGGGATTTTCATGGGAGTGTTTCACAAAGATGAAGATCGACTTTAAGTTTGGACTTAACTATGGCAGGCCGTTCATGCCACTGTTTGCTCTCAACATTGTGATCGGGTAAAAAAATAAAATGAACATAAGGAAGAAAAAAAGAAAAATCTCAATTTTTTTTTTTAAATCGGGAAATTATCAGGCCCGACTATTATGCCACTTGCCTTTGGGAAGAAGTAAGCTGGCGGCAGTGGTTGTGCTTTGTCCATATCTTCCACTTTTTCAAAGAGTGCCATGCCATACCCCACGGCACCCTGCTGGCTCTCTAAGGTCTTCCCCTTCTTGGCCGCTCCCTGTCTCTTTCTTAGCCGAAACATGAGATAGAAGATCCAGTACTTGAGACCGAACCAGCGCCCTCGCTGGGAGTATGTGCCCAGGATCGGTTCGGGGTCAGAGGTCAGGAAAGAGTTGAGGATGTAGAGGACCGGAGGTAATACAAGGAAGAAGGCTATGGTCGACAGGATGCCCATGGTGATGATGATGATGGTTTACACCGGTATCTGAAATCAATAATACAAACGAGATAAGAATCGAGATAAGAATCGGTTCGGGTCGGAGGTCAAGAAAGAGTTGAGGATGTAGAGGATTGGAGGTAAGACAAGGAAGAGGGCTATGGTCGACAGGATGCCCATGATGATGATGATGATGGTTTACACCGGTATCTGAAATCAATATTAGAAACGAGATAAGAATATGTCAACAAAGACAAATGAGGTGGCCTGGAAGTTTTTTTTTTTTAAAGAATCTCATATTGAGAGATGAAGAGAAAGAGATGTATGGCAGGAGATGGTGATGTTGATGGTTTACACCTGAAATCAATAATTCATGAATGATATTCTGTCGTTGTGAGGCAGTCAAAGGAGGTGCACACCGTCTTATTTCTTGTTTGTTTGATCCTATGTTTGATCCTATGTTTGATCCTATGTTTGACCTTTTGTATGTTTGACCCTATGTTTGACCTTATGTATGTTTGATCTCACTCTCATTTTTATTATTATATATGCATGGTTTATTGAATAAAGAACAGATGTATATTAAAGTTGTGTGTTTATTATAAGTTTTGGTAAATAATTTTTTAGTCAGACTATGGTGCGCTTAGAGACACCCGTATTAAGCGCCTACTAAATATTGTGTATTATTATTATTAACAATAAAAACGAGGTGCAATTATTCTAAAAATTCAAACTAAGATAGGACATAACTTTCATAAAAAGAAAAGATGCAGAAGATAGTGGTATCGAGGACGAGTAAGAGGACGCCCATAGTGATGATGATGATGATGGATCATACTGATATCTGCAAATATAAGAGAAAAGGGAGAGATGCTTTGCTTTTGTCAGATATGACCAGACAAAAACGTAGCTGTTTTGTAATGATGTTAAGTGTAGTATACCGGTATGCTTTATATTTTTTTAACACAGATCTCAGGCAATATGCACGATTTGTTTGTTGCGCCCAGTTGCCATTTGTTACAGGTAAGCGGTTGGTTCCAACTTCTATATGAAATGAAAGAGTAAATTAAAGGGATTGGGTAACTTTGTCACAGATTCTAAAACAAAATCCAGGATTTAGCTCGTACTGCAATGATAATTATAAACCTTTAGGTCAGTCAGGAACCCCATGACTTTCACAAGCCGAACACCTGTCTGATTATCAAGATATTTATGATTGCAAATCAGTCTATTCGTGATCATTTTGAAGCGTAATTTTTTAGGGCTTCAATATACACCATATCACAGACACTAATAACACGTGGGGCCATGCATCTCAGATTTAACATTGTTAAACGATTGATGGCTTTAAGGGTCAGTTGAAGAACTAGTCAGTCGTATTAAAAAGACAGATGTGAATGACTGGAGGTATATATTGCAAGGATAAGGGTCATACTGTAAATAGGATATCTCCATATGGCATCATTGATGGGCTATATGCTGGTATCTGAAAACAATAATAAGAAGAGGAACAGATTTGTAACTCGTTCAAAGGTCAAACTAAAGCCTCGTTCAGATGTGAGGCAGCAAAACCCCATCGTTTTTGAGGATGACCTAAAGTGTAATAGGCTTCCTATTTCTGTATCTGTAGCATGCAGGTTGCCATTTAAAGAGAAGGTTGAGTTCTGGGAAGAGATGAACAAAATTTGTGAGCGTTATCATTCTTATTATGCAAGTGTGGAAGAACATCAGATTAAAGACATGTTCCCTGAAAAGCACGGCTCTTCAAATGCCTTCATATTCTAAATATGTCATGTAACATCGTAAAAATCCAGGGTAGGATTTTTACGCCACGTGTTCGTGTAGTCCCATATACATCTTTCTGTGTACAGTGTTTGTAACTTTACCAAGACTTGGCCAAATTTCTTATAATTTTGATGATTCCAGAACCTTGCAATACACACAAATTCTGATATAAGCTAGATGATCAACCTTTTCTGGTTGATTCCACACCGTTTCTTTCACAATGAAATCACATGACCAGAACTCAACTTCATCTTTAATTACTTACCGTATATAAAACAAATGCCGTTTTTCTTTTGCCATGGTTTACCACAGTTTACCACGTCAAATCTGAACATGCCTTATACGGTGTGAACATGCCTTATGGTGTCATTGATATGAAAGAGTAAAGGACACAGCTTTTAGGGTTGGTCATTTTGGGTGGCGTTCTCGAAAGCGGACTAACTTTAATCCATGGTTTAATCCACCGACCAAGTATGGAATGCCAAGTGTCCATGTGAATATATTTTAGAATAATTTGATATTTCCCTAAATTACTGTTATAACATAATTACAGTATATCATAGTTATATTGTTGTTTTTTAATTAAGTTATTACATTTCAAGTGAAAAAATACACGGTCTCAGGGCGAACGAGCCCCCGAAATGCCAAAAAGAGCCCCAGAAAGTCATAAAAGAGCCCCCCCCAAAAAAAATGTGCATACAGTTCTATGCAAAACAAATTAAAGAGTGTGTTTTTCATGCAAGCAAGGTTGAAAAGTATGTAGCCCCCCCCCCCTCCCCCCAATTTTTTTGATAACTTTTTCCCTGTACATTTCATTTTAATTTAGTGACAAATTAAATTATTCGAAAACATATTCATATGGACACGTGGCATTCCATATTTAGTTGGTCTATTAAACGATGGACTAAAGTTAGTCTGCTTTCGAGAATACCACCTCTTGAAAAGAAAGTTGTCGAGGACAAGAGGTCAGTATTGCAAGGATACTGGTAATAGAGAGCTATTGTTATGGTGATGCTGGTAGGTTAAATACTGCAGTAGGATACAAACAGAAAGATGAATTCATTCTAAAATCAAACTATTGTGTAGTATCATTTACAGTATTAGATCACAATCAATGCAGGTTAAAGGGATCCGGTAACTTTGTCTCAGATTCTGAAACAAAATTCTGGATTTAGCTCATGATGCAATGATAATTATAAACCTTTAGGTTAGTCAGGAACCCCATGACTTTTACAAGCCGATCGCCTGTCTGATTATCAAGATATTTATGATTGGAATTACAAATTTTGAAAATCGTTCGCATGACGGTTTTCATAACACTACAGGCTATTGGGGAAATGAGTATGGTAAAACCAGTCACTCAAAGAATTTTACTTTTTTGAGGCACTTGTTGATCATTTTGAAGGGCAATTTTTTTTAGGGCTTCAATATTACACCATATCACAGACACTGGTAACATGTAGGACCGTGTATTTCAGATTTAACATTGTTAAACGATCCCTTTAAGCATAAAGCTGTGGGTTGGCAATACAGCATCTAATAAAAGGTACATGTACGTGAATTTGTAGCCAATGTCAAATTCTGTAGAAATTTTCAGAAATTATGTCCTATCTGTGAAATTTAAACGTTGGCAATGTCCTATTATTCGAATTATATGCAAGGAAACATGTCTACTATCTAGACTTCACTGTCAGACACTGTTGAGTCAGTGACTGACTCGTCTTTTTTTCATTTGGTAATAACATACATGAAATGAGATACATGAGCATTTCGATACATCAATATTAATCCACTTCTTGTAATGGCCAAAATTAAACTGATTGAATCTTTGCACAGCACAAAATGTACAACCATTTGACGGTCCGAAAATCAGACTATTACTAAATTGATTCAATCACTGAAGTGGAGACGACAACTAATGCTCATAATTTTCCCACTATTAAAAAGACATTTTCAAGCACTTTTGTTTTGAGAAAAGTTGAGAATTAGTATTATCTTTCAAATGCTGTTGGAATTTAACCTTCTTCTTTTTTTTTTTTTTTTTTTTTTTGGGGGGGGGGGGGGCGCGTACCAATAGTACATTTGCAATTTGAAATAGTTGAAGAAATCAATGCAGTACGTAATTCACAAGTAAAATAATCAACCTACACATTACCGTATACAAACCTACATGTACATGCAGAGACTAAAAATAATCCACACATACGAACCTAGTTACTAGAAAAATCCAAATCCTAGAAATAACATGTAGGTTCCTGTAACAATTGAATAAAGTCTGCCAAAGTCTGCTCACTGCAGGTCTCTCACTGGGTCAATGGCATGGTGTTAATTACAGATGATATTGTACAATGAAGTTGGGACTAATCTACTACAGTGTATCTGCATGTAGTAATAATCTTTAATCAGCTGTAGGTTGATGGTTACTAGACTGCCACAGCTTTAGTTAAAAGTTTATTGACTTTAGACCTCAACTTATCTGCCATTGTCAAAAGTTTCAAAGTTCTTTTCCTGTTTTCGACCTTGTTATATATACACACCTTGTTATATTTCAATGGACATACACTAGCTGCATGTTTTTGCATGATTCTGCTTGTTTCTTTTTGAATTCATCTCATCGATACTCCTCAATCTGCCTGCAATATAGGGTGCGTTTAAGCTCAATTTTGAAGGCAGAATGAGCGATTTACAACGCTCATCATAAACGCTCATCGTAATCGCAGTTCCACGGTGTACTGTTTATGCTCACTTCTCTGGCTCCTCCAGGCAATTCTCGCTGGGTGGTCTTAACCCTTGCAGCTGGATTCGCAAACCTGCACTGTGCATGCTACGTAGACCCACTAGAGGTCAGTGCGTTGACCCCATTTAAACGAGTTTACAAAACGTAAACGCACCTTTTTGTGAGTTTACGATCGGCGACCGTGATCGCCGTTTTTCGGTGATTCTACAAAAGTGAGAAAGGACGCAACCGTGTTTTGAACTAAACGCGTAACAGATGCCTGATTCTGGCCAGAAAAAGTTGAGCATAAACATACCCATAGTCATATTGAAATTTGAAATAAGTATACTAAAAAATCTTTTTGTTCTGCAGGTGTGACACAATTCAATAACATGACGGACATGAAGAAAGAGGACAAAATATACAGGTCCTCATTCTAACCTCAACAATTGCTGTGGTAGACAAAGGAACATCCCTTCACTGCTATTATGCAAAAATGTGTAGAACAGGTGAATATGCATGTGACACCTGTTCTACACACTTTTACATGTACATAATAGCAGTGAATGGACGTTCCTTTATCTACCACAGCAACTGTTGAGGGTAGAATGAGCTATATTTTGTCCTCTTTCTTTGTTTTTCATGTTCATAGTGAGTTATATTTTGACGTACATGTACATATAATGTACATGTGGGTACATTATAAACAATCAAGTTACTTAAAATTGTGCACATACTGTAAACAACAAAGAAAATGCAGTGCTTTTGAGGAGAGGGGGGGGGGGGGGGGTACTACAACTGGCCTTTCCCACTTTTAACCCACAGTCAAAGCACACATGTACAAACATTAAATACACATCAAAATGTGCCCCTTGTAATGATTTTAGAGCCTATTATTTTTCATTGTTAGGTAAAATATCCCCTGCAAATACCAAGGTGCATTATAAATACATGTACAAAACTCTTTTTCACTTGTCATACACATGTCAATCACAGATCTGTCAGCATCTCTATACCCCCCCCCCCCCTCCCCTCTCACCCCTTCCCCTAAAGATTCCTGGATCTTATGGATACCTTCGTATGTCTACTGTATATTGGCTTATCAATGCGCTTGATTTAGAATACCATGAGCTAGACTTGTACTATAGTTTGCATACATGTATACACAAACCTTTGTCAGTCATTGAGCGTAGCAGTGTCTGCATCGTAAGACTATGCTGACTACAGCACATTAGGCCATTAAAAAAAAAAATCATGTTTAGCGTTCCCGCCCACTTCCTTTTTGGGGGCCGCCTGCTTTCTGTTTTTTTTTTAATGAAAAAACATGAAAAACATACTGATCTTTTCCTGAAGTTTAAAAAAGAAAGAAAAAAAGTGGCCCGACTGTCAGGCAAAAAAGTACCGAGCGGCCATTTTAGGAAAAAAAGAAAAGAAAAAAAAGGGCCTCCTCCTTCATATTTTTCAAAAAGGCAGGATGCTAAACAACTTTTTAAAATTTGGCCTTAGTATACTGTATGTCTAGAGCTAGCTCAAGGCTTTAGGAGTTGTGGTGGAGAGTCAAAGTAGAGTTTGCATGTGCCTTCAGATGGTGTTTAGGATCCATGTATGTATTAGATAATCGCCAGAATTTATGATAAGGCTCCCTAGGAATAGCTCATCATACAAAGTCCAACGGGTTCCAATTGGTTAATTTCCTTTGTTTGTTAGACTCGTATCTAAAACCTTATCAGACTAGGAGCATGCCAATCTCTGATCATTCTTCTTATATCACCATGCTCTGATCCTCACTATCGCCAATATGTTAATAAAATACCTGTACATGTACTGTATATTACAGTGGCATATCCAAGAGTGGGGGGGGGGGGGACCTCTCCTGGGGAAAAAATAGGTAAAAACCCGTTAATTTTACCTTTATTTGGCGACAGGTCCCCTCACCTGGTGCTCAAGGGGGAGGGGGGGGGGGGGTGCGGTTTTTAAATTTTTGAGGGCAATTTTTTTTTAAATTTAGTGCTCCTTATACCCCCCCCCCCCACACACACACACACTTTTTCTGAAAATGGAATTTTTTAAAAATTTTGAGGGCAATTTTTTTTTTAAATTTAGTGCTCCTTATACCCCCCCCCCCCCACACACACACACACGCTGTTTTTTTTTCTGAAAATGGAAATTTAAACACTGGAAAGTTGATTGATAACATCATTTAGTATGATTTGATCCGGGATATATCTCATTAATGAAACATTGTAATGGATATTATAGTCTCAAACAAACCTACACTTTAGGCTACACCATTACATGATTGCAGGCCATATGCCCCAAATTTAGTAATCTTCTTTTGTGTACCGTACATCAAAAGACCGAGGTTTCCAAGGTTGATCTTGGAAAATGGAAATCTGATACAGGTAAGTTGTTCAATAAAATCACTTAGTATGATTTGATCCAAGATGAAGATATATTAATGAAACAATAATAATAATAATGATAATACTCAGTTAATAGCACTTTTTAATATTACAATCAATAAAGCGCTTCCATACTTGGAGATTATTACCTTGGCTTTAGCTGTGCTGCCATAGCGGCGCTCTAGCATTTCAAAGAATTAATTCCTGCCAGGTACTCATTTACATCACCTGGGTTGAGTGTGGCAAATGTAGATCAATGTCTTGCCAAAGGACATTAGTGCCGCGGTGGGTCTCAAACCATGGACCTTGTGATCGACTGTCCGGCGACTTAACCACTCGACCACGGCACCTGTACAGTGTACAATGTAAAGGCTATACAAGCCAATACTATTAAACTAAGTGCCAGCACCATTAATCCATGCCCCAAGTTTAGTAATCTTCTTTTGTGTATTCAAAGACCGAGGATTTCAAGGTATATTTAGGAAAATGGAAATTTAATACTGGTAAGTTGCTCGATAACATCACTCAGTATGATTTGATCCAAGATATATCTCATTAATGAAACAATGTGAATAAGGCTATACAATCGCACACCAACCATCACCGTTAAAGGTACTATTTCCCTTTTGCAGCCAACCTCAAATTATGTAGAACTTTGCAGGATTTATGAAAATGTCATGTATGTCCTATCTGTGAAATTTAATCGTTAGCAGTTTCCTAATATTCAAATTATGCAAGGAAACCCGTTTACAGCTAGACTTCACTGTCAGAGACTATTGAGTGACTGACTGGCTTTTTTCTTCTTTGGTAATAACATACATAAAATGAGCTGTAGAGGGTACATGAGCATCTGTCTACATCAATAACCCACTTCTTGTAATGGCCAAAATTAAAAGATTGAATCTTGCGCAGCATAAAACATAGAACCATTCAGTACAATGGTCTGAAAATCAGACTTTTACTTATTGGCTCTATAGCTCCTAAGTCGATTCGACAACTAATAGTCGTTATTTTCCCACTGAAAGACATTTTCAAGCCCCCTATTTTTTAGGGAAGTTCTAAATTAGTATTATCTTTCAAATGCTGTTGGAATTTAACCTTTCCATTTTTTGGCCTGCAAATGGGACATACATGTACACTGTAGTACCTTCAATGGAACAGTGTAAAAGCTATATAATCGCACACCAACCGTCACCATTAAACTGACACCGACACACCAGATACACACGACGCACATCTGTGACATAGGGAATAATGCATACTCATGACTCCACCAAAGCTCATGCCAATATTTGCTACCGCGCATGCATGTTCATGCTCACAGAAATGCAGTATACAAACATATTATACGATGTCCCGTAAATCTCTGTGTATAAGGCGCACTTTTTTGCTGCCGAAAAAAAATTGAAAGTCGGGAGTGCGTCTTATACTGTACATACCTGTAGGTACACACCACTCGGAAACTAGAACAACACTCAAATTTGTCTGTCATCTTGGTTTGCAAGTAATCTTTCTAATAGATCTCAATATGTAGTATAATTCCTCCAATTTTGCTTTGGCGGTACCACAAGGGTTTTATCCTAGGTACTCTACTGTTTTTAATTTACATTAATGATCTTACACATTCTTCTAAAAACGACATTGTTACTTTTATTTGTGACAAGTTCACAAGCACAAATCAGCGCCTTCAACTGCACCTCGATGTTAAATGAAAGTCCTTCCCCGCATGTGTTCTTGTTTCGGCAAAAAAAAAGAGATTTACGGTACATGTACATGTACATGTATGTAAATGCTGACATAAACGACTATTTTGAAAATATAGGAAACCGAATTATATCTGCAAGACTGCGCCTGAGTTATGTGAAGTTATCTACCGATTACCGAAATGTCTCAGATCGTCATTACGGTAAATAACTTCACGCAGGCGCGTGCCCGCCCGCCCGCCCACAACCCACCATCGGTATGCCCTTGTATTGTGCAGCGGTTTGCCGTGAAACCTGTGAAAAAGTGTATAAGGTCTACTACTAATATCAACGTTTATCCGAAAAATACTCCAAAAATAACAAGAAAATTGACACGAAACAGGTAATAAACATAACAACTCTTAAGTCATGATCTTTATTTGGACATTTAATGAACATTTACTTCATTTTGGAGTTACGCCGGAGTTATGGGTCAAATTTTGGATAGAGGTTTCTGAACAAGCGCCGGTCTAGTCCTGCCGGCTGCCTGAGGCAGGCGATGCCGCGATCGGCCTGTTAAAGTCATGGAATTCCTGACTGACCTAGGCCAAACTAAAGGTTTATAATTATGATTACAGCATGACAAGCTTTGAATAATGATAATTTGATATGACACTGAGCCGAGCTATTAATTATTAATATTAAAATCCAGCCTTCCATTCATTCCTATGCCAGCCGCTGCATGGGCATGGTCATGCATGCATCATTTATTCAATGCATGGCCATGCAGAATCCAGGGTTTCGTTTCAGAATCCGAGGCAATTGAATGCTACCGAGTCACTTTAAAAGTCTGATATTGCTTACCTTACCTTTGATGCGATTCTTGGGGGTCAATTTTTGGCACGTCAGAAAATGGCAAAAGGAAAACGAACGGATATCTACAGAAAACTGTCTGCACTGTCTATTGCGCTTGTATTGTTGTGTATGTAGCAACTAAGATTCTTGGTCATGTGACCATCTACTCCGTCAGGTGACATCTTCATGTAAATAACTGTTTTCGCGATGAGCATGAGAATATTGTAGACCAGAATTTCCATATTAACTTTGAGCCGGTATAAAGTTGTAGAAATGGAAATAAACAGGAGAAAAATTATCAAAAAGACGCAGAGAAAACTATCAAATTTAGTCGGTAAGTTGGATAAAGAAGAGCCCGGAATTCGAGCGTTGTTTGAATTGAGTGCGAGCTGCGTCTTTCCAGCGGGAGCTGTGGAAACCGAGCCGGCAGAGACGGCAGACACGATGAGGTTGTTTAGCCCTGCGAGCGAGCCTCCCGTTCCCAAGAAAGGGCGACAGACATACCGAATGTGGAAGGCGATGGTAGAACTCGACTCATCGCCATTCGGAAAATCTAGACTGACTGAAAAGATGAAAAGGCTTCGCTTTCTTCCCCTCGAAAGATACAATGTTGGTCCCTTCAACATCGATGGATTAACATCCGGCATCACAGAATTTCTGTTTTTATTTTTGAAGGCTTTCTTCCCAGGGCTGGAAATCACTTTGGAAAGTCCATATGACATCTCGCAAATGGATCCAATTAGCCGCTACCATAAGTTAACCCATAAGAAACAGTACCTCGTCACAGATGTATACACCAGACTTCATAGAGCCACAGATTCTAACAGGAAGGACTACATACTCGGGCTAACTTGGACTGACCTTTACCCCTCAGAGGACCTGAACTTTGCCCTGGGAGAAGCCCTCTACAGTCACCGTTGTGCAGTCTTCAGTTTTGGGCGATTTGAACCACTTTTACACAATGAGAATGACAGAGATATTGCTCCCAAAGACATTGATACGTCTGCAGTCGTGTCGAATTCCTCAGGGGAAGGCTGCTGCGAAGAGAAGTCGGGGTGCGGACGGAGCTTTGCGTCAGACGAGAAACAAACGTTAGGATGTGCCGAGGAGAGCAAGGCAGGGAAAGCCAAGGAAAGGGAATTACCCCATCATTCAAAAGACGTGTCACTGGATCAAGAAAAGAAAGATGGAGAAGATGATGTCTTACAAATAAATGCTGATATCCTTTGGAAAATGATGAGGGTACATAAATCTATAAATTTCATTTTTGTTTGTCACAATTGGTAATTTTTAATTCATGTAAAACTGCTTTTATGTTGATCACTTTGATATTACTTTTTTCAATTTTTTAAGGCTAGAAGGGCGTTATGAACCCCATGTTAAAGTATATGACACACTTGACCCTTCTGAGTTCTCATACCGGTACGTGTATATTGAATGCGAAATCAGACCAAAAGATATAGTCATCAAGATGACAAAAGTGCAACTCTGAATTGTTTTTGTTTTTATGAAAGAAGTATTAATAAATACTGTTTGCTCAGGTATTTGTTCTAATTTTTCTTGAAAGTTTTACGTTTTCAGTTAAAGGTAAAGACCAATATTTGAAACGCCCAAATTTCAAAAAATGAAATGGAAGCTCTTATTACCAATCATGTGAAAGAATATGTTTTAAATATTACATGACGATAAAAATGTTGACGGGAAACCGCCTACTAATTGATATATTTGGTAAATTAGTATGTCTATATACTGTTGAGAGATACAAATGCACGTGTCGCGCACGTGTGTGTAGTCCCATATACATCTTTCTGTGTACAGTGCTTCTAACTTTATGAAGACTTGGCCAAATTTCTCATAATTTTGATGATTCCAGAACCTTGCAGTACATCTATGCTAGATGATCAACCTTTTCTGATCGATTTCACAACGTTTCTCTCACTTTGCAATTGTATGACCATAACTGGTCTTTAGCTTTAAATTTAGAATAGATTTAGAATAAATTTAGTAAATAATGCATTAATTGAGACACACCTTGGCCCTGTTTCATAAAACTTGTTTTCAATCACAACAAAGTTATCAATAGCTTCCACTTTCTTCCTTTTTGTTGTTGCTGTGTGTATTTAAAAAGTTGAGTTTGTTTTGTTTTCGTAACCCAAATTTATCAAATACTCCATGTTGTGAAGAATATTTAGGATTTATATAATTTTATCTATCAGCCCCTCATCCTCTCACCATTTCCAAATCTCTTCATTCTCTCTCTCTCTCTCTCTCTCTTTCTCATTTTGTCTGTATCATAATCAGTCACTATCCCTTAATTCCTTCTTCTTTCCTTTATATTTCTTATTTCACAGGTTTCAAGCCATGAGGTATGTCATTTATTCGGCCTCTCCCACTGTGTCTTCTTCCACTGTGCCATGAATGAAAGCAAATCTGTCACCGAAGCTTTGAAACAACCTCTCTACCTATGTCCTGTATGTCTTCGTAAGCTTCAGAAGTTCTTCAATTTCGACATCCCTGCCCGGTACCGACAGATCCAGGATGTATGCCTGAAAGTTCAAAGGTCGTATCCATCAGAGAGGATTGCGGAGACAATTGATTGGTTAAACAGAGTACAAGAGTTTTTGTCAACTGATTGAATTTCTGCAGTCTCAATATTACATGTACCTAAAGTTGTAAATCAAAAAGATTACCGGTAAGTATAGAAAAGTAATATATTCATTGTAATTTGTTATTTATTTATTTATTTGTTTTAAATTATTTAATCGTAATAATATAATGCACTTTAGTGTGCCATAATATCTTGTAAAACTATTCAGTCCAATTTTTTTTTTATTGGGGGGGGGGGGGGGGGGGGGAGTGGGAAGTTCTTTTTTTATAAAAAATAACAACTTCATCATCGTAATCTGATGAAATTTCTCAAGATGCATTAAAAATATCAGGCCTGATAAAAATCCGATTTAAATCTGTTTCCCGATTTTTTTTATTTTTCCCGATTTTTTTCCGATTTTTTCTTCCCGATTTAAAAAAAAAAAAAAAAAAAAAAAAAATCCAGATTTTTTTTTTTTTTTTTTTTTTTTTTTTTTACCATTTTTTTTTTCTTCTTCCCTATTTTATCCTGATTTTCCAGATTTCCCTCTTATTTTCTCTATTATTCCCTATTTTGCCCTATTTTTCCCCCAATTTTCTTATTCGAAAGGGGGGAAATGTTGTTAGGTGCCATTTTTTCCCCGCGAATCCTCTTTTTTTTTTTACTCAAGGGGGGGCGTGGTTGAGGGGAAAACAAAAAATCTATTTTTTTTTTAGTGCTCACTATCACCCCTGAAATATACAAAATTAACATGCATAAGTTTTGCAAAAGTTGGCAGAGACTTAAACACAAATATTCTGGACGTTCCCTGCACTTCTTCTCATGGAAATACAAATGTTGAATCTTTTTCTCTCAGGCAAGTATCTGAGAAATGAAGTTATAAAGGTCAAATAGTTCAAAGGTCACAGGTCAAATGTTGTATGAAAAATAAGACTCTATTAACAATTGCATTGACGACTTATCACCAATGCCTTGTGTCTATTCGCATTCTGAATTCTTCTGCTTATTCTAAATTCCTATTAGTTTTGCACGCAGTGCTTGTTATCCCTATCTAGCTAGGTCATTTTCTGCGGCCTGATTCCTTTAAAATTTTGTAGGCGTAATGTCTGGCATCCAATCTAGGTCACCTGACTCTTTATTTTCCAAAATCACTCATGCGTAACCCCTCAGTTGCCATTTTGTTCGTTTCTGGTCCGTTTTAAGGCCTTTCTTACATCCTTTATTCGTTTCTCCACTATACTTGATACAACCAACTTCTAAGAAAGTCCTCTAGGTAGTCTAAGAGATGTTCTTTCATCTGCGACTTATAACCTGGCCTTCAAAATGCCATCTTCATAATCGAAATTCAAATTTCGAAATTGGATCCGTCAAAAATCGCTAACATTCTTTAATAAATTGACCCCTAAATTCTGTAAAGTGCCCTATCATACCCATTCAGTTTTGTCTCAATTTTTCTCAGTATCTTTATCTCATCATTGCACATACCAATGCCGAATGCCTAGACTTTTAGAGTTTTTAAAATGGCTTTCTTACCCTTACAACTTCAAGATATGCCCTTTCCTGCCATTAACAAAAAACAAACCATTCCATTCCATTCCATTGACCAACTTGCAAAAATTGCTGTTGAAAATCACGCTTTTCGGGAAAATTCCAAAATAACTTTAAATTGCTCTAAAATTGCAAGCCTTATACCAAGGTCAATGAAAGTAATCAGACATTTGCATCTATGTATGCAACAACTGTCTGCCAAGTTTGGTAAAATTTAATGACGTCATCGCAAATTTATCACCCAAAAAGATTATTTGATATGCATTACATAACAATATGTTTAAGCCAGGCTTGCAGTACATTTTGCACAGGTGAAAATGGTGCCAAAATGACCGCAATGAAATGTTCTTTTGAATGATACCAAATACAGTATGGGATCACACAGAAAATGTTAGTTAATCGCATTTGAATGAGGTCCACAATACAGATCCCGCTGTAGAGTTGTAGACCAGACAAAAATTGAACGATTATCTGTACTAGTGTATGGGAGGGATTATACCTCCCTGCGAGGTCACTGGACAGGTGGTTATATCAACTCGGCTCTCAATTAACATAAGAAAAAGAGGATCATAGGGGACCAATGGTCACCGATTAGGCATTGTTTTCTCTATAGAGGGAGCAGGTAGCTACAAGTAGGACAGTGTGGCTTTAATATTATGTTATTGTTCCTGGAAATCTTTTTTTGTAACTTCAATTAATCCACATTTTGTAAATTTATGTATAATTTTCAAGTAATTTTCTAAAGTAATCCATGCATAGGGTATTGGAAAATAACATTTATCTTCAATTCTCTTGAATAAAGAGAGGAAGCATTATTATTAAATGAAATGAGAGGAAATACCCTGTTGCCCAATGTTAATTTTGACATTCTCTTTTGCACATGTATTGTCTTTTGATTCTGTAAGTAGGGGGTGTTTCACAAAGATCCTAAGTTGAATTATCTCTAAGTTAGACTTAACAATTATGGAAAGCCGTTAGCATCTATGAAACTATTTTGTAAAAGTTATTTTAAAAGGCATAAAATGCTGTTTAAAATCATTTAATAACTTCTATGATCATGGAGATGTATCATGTTCTTGGTGTGAAATTTATAAAAAGTCTAAAATACTTGAATTTTTGCTTTTGAATATATTTATTTTAAGGCTACAAACAGCTCTCCATAATTTTCAGGTCCAACTTAAACTTAAGTTCTACTTAGGATCTTTGTGAAACAACCCCTGTCCCCAGGTAACTCATTTATTCATAGCAACATCAATGTCAGTGGATTTTGATGCAATACATACAAAGGCATCTTTGAAAATATTTTTCTAATGATAGAATTAATTTCGTTTTATTTCATGTCATGTATTTTTTTTTTAAATTAAGGTCTGTTGGAATCTCAAAAAGCTGTAGCTTAGCTACATTTGGATGATTGGGTAGCCTCATTATTTGTTGGACTTTTCTCTTTTTTTAAAGAGAAGGAAAAAAGGGCAACAGAAAGAAACAGAAAGAAAGAAAGAAAAAGTGTTTGAGCTACATGTATGAGAATTCAAAGTGACTGAATGGAATTCATTTTTAATGTAAACTAGTCTTGCATAGTCCAAGTTATATTGATAGTAATGTGTTTTTGAGTAGATGCCCTAATATAGAGTACTTTTTCATTTAAATCATGATAAATGTGAATTTTGTTAAACTATGTATATAAAAAGGAAAAGAGAGAGAGAGGGGGAGGGAGGGGCAGGTGGGAGGGAGGGAGGGGCGGGTGGGGGGGGGGGGGGCGGGGTAGAGCTCTTATAGGATCAGCACAGAGTGCAACAGACCCATGCAAGGAACCATCTCTGTTGAATTCACCATGGTACCTTCATTGCTACTACTGTTATTGTTTGCTAGACAGTGTTTATTGAAAAGTAATAAATATGTTGAGGCTTTTATATCAAAGTTATTCATATTTTTTTTGGTCTTTTTAATTAGCATCAATAATGAAGTGTGTTGGCCCTGTGAACATGTGTGTGAATGAATATTGATTGGTTTTCTCTTGTTGCTGTCTTTATTGGATGATAAATGATCCTGAAGGTGATGCTTTTATTTTGAACTAAATAAGAGTATGTTAGGCCAAATAAAAAATTAAAAAAACATGTTTAGCGTCCTGCCTTTTTAAATAATAGGAAGGAGGAGGCCCTTTTTTTTCTTCCTCGAAATGGGCGCTCAATATGGCCGCTTGGTACATTTTCCCTGATAGTCGGGCTATTTTTCAAGATGGCCGCCGGCATTTTTTTTTAAAAATCAGAAATAGATCCATTTTAGCAGTTTTTTTTCTCCATGTTTTTGTTAAACAAACCAAAAAACGACAAAAAAGTAGGCGGCTCCCAAAAAGGAAGCGGGCTGGGACGCTAAACATGTATATTTTATTTGATGGCCTTATGTGAAAAAATGAGACTTTCCTTAAATTGCAATTTGTGTGGATGTGATTACATCCATAATAGATAGCATATATGCTGGTGAATAAATTCTTCAGACGGTATCGCATCATTAAAAAATGATTTCAATTTTTGTTGGCAAAATGTAAAAAAAATATGAGAAAAGCATGTGCACCCCTACAGTTTTTAAGTAAGACTTAACGGATTAATAAACGAGTGTCTGATCAAAATGAAAAAAGTAAAATGGCAATTGATTTTATTTGTAATTTCATTTTTAACGATTGTAATGCAAGACTAGCTTACACATAAAATTGAATTCCATACATAGAAAAGAAATGGATATTTATTTTTGTTATCTTAATAAATAAACGACTGATATGAAAGACTAGGTAAACGCCTTTATTTGACATTAAAATATTTAAGTTTATTATTTTAATTTGTTTCTTGTTATTTATTGATTTAATTCTTATAAACGCCTGATCTGCAAGACTACGTAAAAAGTAGTTATATTATTTGGGAAACCGGTGAAATTCCAGCAGCGTGAAAACATGCTATATTGATTCCCATTTCCGGTTACATTTCCGGTTACATGGAATAGGTTACCTTGTGAATTACGCTGTAGTATGTCAATTTAAGTATTTAAGAAACATCTCAAAACACACCTATTTAGATTGTAAATAACTGCATTACATTTTATAGCATATTTTGTTGAGTTTTAATTCATTGATGTATTTGTTTTGTAAAGCGCTTTGATCAGTTGTAAACTGGATATAGCGCTATAAAAGAAACAATTTATTATTTGAAACAAAATAAAGACCCCCAAAACAACCTCATATCGTCCCATTGCTGTTTCATGAAAATAATGGAGAGTATGGTAAAAAAAAAAAAGAGAGGCTTCAGTTCTTCCTTGGAAAGCATGATATATTATCTCCAATACAAAAACGGATTTTGAAAAGGACGCTGTACCATACATAATATTATACATCTGGAAAGTAATATACACTCTAAAAACTGAAATGTTAAATCACCATTTAAAAGGGCCGAGGAGTGACCACTCTTTCAAAATGTCAGATTGATACTTTTATCCTGCTAGATTCAACCTTTATAATGTTGGATCCAGCATGTTTAAAGTGTTAATCTACCATTTTGAAAAAGTGGTCACTCCTCGGCCCTTTTAAATGGTGATTTAACATTTCAGTTTTTAGAGTGTACAGAAGAGCTTAAAAACTAGTTAAAACCATTGCAGTATTTTTAGATTAGAGAAGGCTTTCAAATCTCTGTAGACAAAAGGAC